AAGATTGTAAGTTACAAAGTCAGGCTTGTGGCTCAAGGTTTCCCTTAAAGACTAGGAACTGATTATGATGAAACATATTCTTTGATTATATATGCAATCACTTTTAGATATTTAAACAACCTATCGATCTTTAAAAATTTAGGGTTGTGTTTTATGGATGTTGTTACATACTTCTATAAATCACTTGAAAATGGTATCTATATGAAAATACCTAAAGGATTTAAAATTTCTGAAGCATCGAATACAAAACCCAATAAAATTTATTTTTTTAAACTACAAAGATCTTTGTCTGGGTTAAAGCAATTTGGAAAAATTGTTTAATTAATTACTTAACAAGCCAAGATTATAAAAATAATACAATTTGTCCGGGTGTATTTATTAAGAAAACAATATCTAGATATGTGACTATAGTTGTCTACGTTGATGATCTACACATTATTGGAAACCATTTCTTGAAGTGATTGAATTTTTGTAGAAAAAATTAAAATGAAAGACCTCAGAAAAATCAAATATTGGTTTTAGGGCTGTAAACGAACCAAACAAACACGAACAAGGCTTGTTCATGTTTGTTTGTTTAGGTTTAACCTAACTAACAAACGAACACGAACGCTTAAACAAACATGTTTTCTTGTTTGTGTTTGTTTGTTTAAAAATTACATTGTTTGTGTTTGTTTTTGTTTGTTTGTTAATATGTTAATCGAACATAAACAAAAAAATATATAAAAGTAAGTAAAGGAAAGAGAACAAACACATGAAAATGAGCACAAACATACAGAGATAAATATCATAAACATTGAAACGATTAAACCTGCATAAACAAACAATTATACGGAAATCCTAGAATATAAAAATCCAATTCCCTAAATAACTTAAAAATAAACACTAGATATCATCTTCACGCAAATATCTTCCGGAACATGGAAGTTTTGGGCACTCAAAAACATGCCTATGCATCTGTGTGGTTGTTCCTTTGTTAAACTTTTTTATTTTCTTACCACAGTGGATGCATTCACACATTTCAGTTCCATCATCCAAGTTTATTACACGAACATGTTCCCAAATTTTGAAGTCTTTCTTTCTTTCCCTTATAGCATATGAAAAATGCTCTTCACTATTTGTTTCATTTGGTTGTTGTGCACTAACATCATAGACTACGGGTACAACATCTTCTTCTAGTTGTGCATTGCCTTCGATAACAATAACATCATGAGCATTTTCCATTGTTGGACTGCTTGCACTTGAATTGAAATATTGAATTATGTTTAAATCAAATAGAGGTTGTTCACTTGAATCAAAATATGTTGAGTTTAAATTTGATATCCATTCAAACAACTTGTATGCTTTTACTCTTTAATCATTTTAAAATCTTAAAAAGACATAAGATATAGACAATAAATCAATCGCATCATGTAATTACCTAAATCTCTTACTTTGAGTTCTCAAGTTAATATAACAAAAGAACCAATAATTATCATAATTGAATAACATCAAATTTTCAAAAACTTCAATAAAAAAGAGTGAAAACTGAACAGGAGAATAATTTTTTACCTAGAATATCCATTCGTACTACAATCGATTAGAATTATGATGAACAAAAAGTGGGGATTGTTAAGTTCGATGGGGTCTTGGTACATTATTACATATTTATATTACAATTTGCCGATAAGTTTGGAGTGTTTAGTGATTGAAGATTTACTTTCTGTTTTTTTAATTGGTCATCAAACTCCTAATTTTCTTCTATTTTTACCAACCTTCATTGTTTTTCTAATTTTCATCGTTTGTGCATTTAATAGTTAAGAATTATATGTTATTCTGTGTTACTATATGATTGTGATTGACGATTCACACGGATTTAAATTTTAGTATACCTTTTATATATATATATATATATATATATATATATATATATATATATATATATATATATATATATTAACAAATATTAACGAACGTTCACGAACTTAAATAAACGAACGAGACAATTGTTCATGTTTGTTTGTTTAACTAAACAAACATAAAATTTTGTTTGTGTTTGTTTGTTTATTATATAAACAAACATTAACGAACATTTTACCGAACGAACTACGAACGGTTTGTCAAACGTTTGGTTCATTTACAGCCCTAATTGGCTTAGGTACATAGTGAGCATATACTTAAAGGGATACTTGTGCATCACTTAAATTATACAAAGATCTTGAAACATTTCAATATGGAATTTACAAGCCTTTAAGCACTTCAATAACAGGAAGATCACTAAATGTTGATAAGAATCCATATTGTGCATACAAAACAAAGAGGTTCTTGTTCTAAAAACATCATACTTTAATGTGATTATGGTTCTTATATATCTTACCAATTATACTAGACCTGTTATTTCTTTTATTATAAACTTGTTAGAAATGTTCAGTTCATCACCAAAAAAACATTGGAACGAGATAAGCACGTATTTTGATACCTTTGAGGAATCGCTAATTTATATATATTTTTTTCATGACGATTCAAAACAAAGTTTAATCGGTTATGCAAAGAGAAAATTACTTACCAGGGTAATCATCTTTATCGCTTTGTTCACATTTAGGTAACTTCTTTATTTTTGTACACATTTGACCATTTAACTTGTTATATGTGTTCACATATTAATAATGGTAATATGTTAACAAATTAACAAGTCAAGTGATTAAATGTGTACGAAAAAAGAAAGTCGCCTAAATGTGAACAAAATAAAAAGTTAATTACCTTGATAAGTCATTTGTCCCACTTTTAATAGCAATTTTATTTTTCATATTTGTTTGTATTATTTTTCTCAAACATTATTTTAAAATATCCATAACTTTCTAAATATTGATCAATTTTAAACTTTACTTTTTAATTAATAAATATGTTTTTGTTTTGTGAAATATTTTATATAGCCTCTTATAATTTGGTTTCTTTTGTTTTTAAGCATAGACCATATTTTTAATGTAAATAGTATCTAACAATAAAATTAAATTAAATATGCAACAAAAAGTATAGAGGGTCTTTTAAAAAAATAAAAAGAGAATATTACTTAACAAATAAAAAATATATATAATGGAAATGTTTTAAATTTATTCCAACTTTTTAATACTTTTTAATTAGAAGTTTATAAACTTTTAATTTTTTAATACGACGTTTTAAACTAGTATTTAACAAAAATATTCTAAAATGTTATAAAAAAATATTAAACTATCATACAAAATCTATGAAACACTTTAAAATGTTGTAAAAGAAAGTTTAATAAATGTATGAAAGTTATAAAAAAATTGTACGAAAAGATTAAAAAAAAATGTTAAATACTTATAAGAAAATTTTAGAACATTTATAAAATATTTGGTTTAAAAGCACTTGTATTAAAATTATATGAAAGAATAAAAAAAAGTTTTAAAAAAAAATTATAAACAAAGATCTAGAACATTGTATTAGAAAAACCTATAGGAAAAAAATACCATAAAAATGTTGTAAGAAATTATTAAAAACTTTAAAATTTTGTAAAAAAAATGTTCACAGTTTAAACAACTTTCTTTAATATATGAACACATTTAACAAGTTAAATGGTTAAATGTGTTCAAAAAAATAAAATTACCTAAACATGAACAATATAAAAAGGTAATTACCTTCGCAAATCATTTTCCTTTATGCAAATTTGGGCTATCTTCCTTTATGCAAATTTGGGCAATCTGTCTTATCATCCTAACGCAAGATCTCAAATTGGATACATTCATGAATAGAAATACTACAATTTTCTGGTTTTCTCAAAAGCACTTGTTACATCTTCAAATCATGTTACAAGTTTTCTCAAAAGCACTTGTTACATCTTCAAATCATGTTACAGTTATTGCGTTAAATAAAGCTAATAGAAAGTGTGCATGATTAAGATCGATGACAAATTTCATCTTGACTTCATATGGACAAGATAAACATAAGGTCCAACTTTTATCTATGAAATAACACATGTGTCACTCAAATTAAAGAATGATATATCAAGAGTGAGAAGATACAAATATATATCACCAAAGTTACACTCAGACGCTCATAAATGGCAATCAAGTTGAAATAAATATGTTCAATCAAACAACAATGTAAGAGGCTCTTTTTATGAAGGTACTTCTTACTTTAATCTTTAGAAAACATATTAACGGTCTCATAATGTGACATGTGCACAACACATATCGATTAATGTGTATCAAAATGATGGAAAGTCAATTATACATTGCACTTTTTCCGGTAAGTTTTTTCTATTCACTTAGGTTTTTACCCATTAATTTTTCTTTAACAATGTTTTAAATGAGGTAGTACATCAAAATTGTACTCAAAATCAAAAACACATCATCTAACGAAAAGTGTTATAAATAATTGTTCTAGTTCATGAAGAATCATGCAAACCAAGTAGAAGATCAATTTTCAAGAGGTGTCAAATCTTTTAACTATTTGTTTACTATTTGATGATACATGAATAAGGTAAGTTCTAGTACAAAACATCCTTTGATGTAAAAGAAAGTACAATATACTCTTGAGTATACTCACATTAAGTGATCAAACTCTCTCCAAGTCTCCTTTGTTCTTTCTATAAAAAATTTAGTTTAATTTTGCTATATTTTAATTACATCGAATTTACAACATTATTATATTTTCGAGTGTGAACACTTTTTTTTGTTACGACCCAACACTAAATATATCCTAAATTCATTCTTCCAAATAACAACCCTACATGTAACGGGCCTCGTTCGGGATATTAAATCCAAAAAAAAAAAAAAAAAAAAAAAAAAAGAAAAGTTAAAATCTTTAACAACCGCTTACCTTTAAGCTTCCGCTCAAGAGATAAACAACCAAAACATATAACCATTTATAACTATGACCTAAAAACCAAAACCCTAAAAACCTTATAAATACCACATAATCTATAACTCTTATGCACATTTTAATCTTTTTGGTATAATTTGGTATTATATATAACTTATAGCTTTTAGTGAGACCCAAAACCCTCACGATGAACAAGACAACATGCACACACCCGGGCGATAAGCCCATGCGGGTGGCAACCGCGCGTACCTTTCCATTCCAGGCTGCTCATCAAACGGCCTTTCCATTACCTTTAACAACCGTCTCACCTCTTCAAAATCACCTTGTTCCGCCATATCAATCGCACTCTGGCATAGGTAATTCCGGAGAACATACTTCGGATTCACCGAATCCATTGAAGCTTTCCTTTCCTTATCCGAAACACCACTAGCAGACAACTACACATAAATCGAAACCACCATCTCAAAAACAAAAACAAACTTCAAATTTAGGGTTTAGGGTATAGGGTTTAGGAAACTAACTATTTTGTATGCACTCATTTAGTCAGTTTTCTTATTTTAATGTTTGGGAGGGTGGTATCCTACTTCTAATGTTTTTTCAAAATTACCATTATGACCTGCTATACTGATTTACCTTTTACCCCAAGGGTAACTGGTAAAACCTACTATAGCAGGTCATAATGGTTAAAGTTTGACTAAAACATTGGAGTTGGTTGCTAAATTATAACATAAACCCTAAATTACAATACTAAGTTTTACCTCGGTTCTATAATGTTTCATCCAGCTAGTCCAAGCGTCTCTTCGCTCTTTTCCAATATCTAGCAAAGCAGACTTGAGCGGAATCAACAATTCCGACTCCGGAACATCGGAATCGGAATCAACACGGATGTTGGAAAGTAATCTAAAGAAGTTTGTGTAATCAACTTTGTCAACAGCCATGTTGTTGAGTAGTTCATTAACAAGCTCTTTATTATACTTTAACAATCCAATCTTTTTCGTCATTATCACCTGATACTCATCCATAAATTTATCACCATATCTGCAACGAATCAAGAACACAAGATTCTTCACTTCAATACAAATAAAAGAAAAAGGAAAAGGAATTCAGAAAAAGGAAGAGTATATGTTTTTATTGACCTTTCCATAGCGTATTCGAATTCTTTCTTGTTAATGAGTTTAGCAGATGAAAGAGATAATGCAAACTGGGCTATATTCCATGAGCCAGTATCAGGTTGATTTGCAAAACAATATCTTCTTCCTGGAAGATCAGTTGTGTTTGGAGTAAATCTAGGGTCAAAAGCGTCAAGAAACCCAAAAGGGCCATAATCAATAGTCAACCCTAATATGCTCATGTTGTCTGTATTTAAAACACCATGTGTGAACCCCACACCCTGCCATTTTGCAATTAGTGAAGCAGTGCGTTCAGCAACTTCCACCAACCAAGCTGATATATATAAAAAAAATTAAAAAAAAAAAAAAAAAAAAGTTGAAGCCAAATAAGTAAATTATTTTATTTCCCGGAAAAGAAAATGTGAAAGTTGATGAATACTCATTCACCTGCATACTTGTTTGAAGTTAGATCTACATCATTGGTAAAGAAAGATAAACTGTCGTCGTTTTTTGTCATGGTTTCTATATGAGGAAAGTGGTGTTTGATGGTGTAATCGGATAAACTTCTAACAATATTGAAGTGTTCTTCGCCTCGTGAAGCGTGTATTTGGAAAGAGCCAAAACGAAGAAAAGATTGGGCCACACGACACACGATTGCACCAGGTTCATCTTTTGGATTGCCACTACATTTAAAGAAATTAAATCTTATTTGAGATCAAAGTTTTGGAAGGTTGACTATAAATAGAAAAAGGAAGTGAGATTTTTTACTCATAAAACATGTCACGTCTCACGTATTTTCCAGTTGTAACAAGACTAAGTGCACGAGTGGTTGGAATTCCAAGAAAATGCATTGCTTCACTACAAAGGAATTCACGAATGCTACTACGTAACACTGCTAAACCATCTGCAAATCTGCTATATGGAGTCTTTCCTGCACCTTTTAATTGAAGTTCCCATCTTTGGGATTTGGAATTCAGAAGCTCACCAACTGTAACTGCCCGACCATCGCCCAACTGCCCTGCCCAAACCCTAAATTGATGCCCGCCATAACATTG